AACAATTTACATCTATCCTCATGAAGTTTATCGAAGTGTATATTTATCATTGTGACGGTATTTGCTGATACTTGCCGTAGTGGCGATACTTTAAACTGTTGTCCTGGAAACGATGATTCAAATAAGTAAGTGACTAACATTTTTCAATCTACTTGATGAAATAAGCAATGTCCATGCAGTATGACAAATAATCAAAAAGATAAGATATATCAGTTCAAATTGAAATGGCTTAAATGTCGTGGGAATATTCAGCATAGTCATATTACACGTAAGGGAATTCTCTCATATCATGCATAAATTTAATACAATTATTATAAGATATCCGAAAGCTAACAAAACGTTGCAGCCTATTGATAACTAAGGCCCAAATGGATTTCATGTTGAAACTGTTGCGCCATTCTTCAAAAGCTGATGACCATTTGCAGTCATTTCCGCAATGTCTGTAGTATTGTATTCTGGAGCTAGAAGTAAAACTGAGCGTAAGATGAGAGCAGCACTTTCCGCAGGTAATAAACTGTTTGGGATATAAATATTACGAATTAGTGTGATTCTATTGAATAGTGTAGAAGGATTATTTTGACAAAAATTTCAGCGTAATGAATCACACATATCATAGCAAGGAATTAAAATTCAAAATTCTCTTTTCAAATTTGACCATTCCATGAAAACTCTTCGACTCAGGAAAACAATTTACTCATAAGAGTTTCAGGTCAACCTAAACATCCATTTAAAACCTGCATAAAATGTGCTATCTAAAAATATTTGGTATGCAATGAGTTTATTTTACATTGTTCAACCAGAATTTGAGCGCAATAAAATTTTTAATAGCCTGTAGAGATATAACCGATCAACTTCATGACTTGGCACAGATCGAAAATAATGCGCTAGAAGTACTATTAAGTTTCGAATTAAATTAATTTTGAATTTTGGAAAAACATCGGTTTAATAAAAAATCTTTTCTGATATATTTTTCGTGAGTTTTAGATTTCATCGGCTTATAAATAAATCAACAAATCAAAGTTTCTGCAATTTTTAGCTGATTAATTACCTTCCCTAGGGTGTATTAGAAAAAAGTTTATTGTATTACAGGTATTCAAATAAGTGGTTAAGCTGAAACAAAAATGTCGGACTCAGCATTGTCAATACTAATCTCAGCCATTGAATTATTCGTCACCTTTCTATTTGGTACCATCACAAAAAATTAATTTACATTGAAAACAATGTTCATTTGTTTATCACTTAGCAAGGAATGATAAGACAGATTTAGTGATAATAGATTATTCCACCTCGTGACCTGTTATCTATTTGACTTCCCGAAATGTTAAAATAATCAAAACATTAATTGACTAAACATTACGCAAAGCCTCAGAGAACGAAGTGACATTACTTTTGGTTAGAATTAATGCAAGTAACGGTTGAATTCAGGCACCAATGATGGCAAGGACAATACAATTTCCACACTACGAAGATTCTTAAATGAAAATGTTAATCATTTTGTCAAAAGAGATATTCGGACTAGAAGAGTTTGAAGCAGAACTTACAGGAGAGAAACTATTCAATTACGTTGACAAACATGTTGTGTCAGGCAATGTTACGGTGTGTTGTAATTTCTTTTTTATGATGCTTTGCTTAATTTTTTCTCTCTTCATTTGATCGTAAATATTCTGTTCTTTTGAATTAACAGATTGCACAAATTTCAGACAAAATGAATGCCTCAGAAGTTTTTTGATTAGTTAAACTATATAACTTAATTGTTTTGGGCATTAAAATTGAAATCGTAAATTTTGTAGCAAATCAAACTTTTCAATTCTTTATCTCATCTTTCAACATTGGTTGTTTTAATTTAATAAAATCTTCAAACATTTCAATTGCTTTTAGCTAGGTCTTGAAATTCACATCAATAAAACAGCAACATAATTCTGTCAAGTGAATTAAAAGGGATGGGAATGGAATGCGATCAATCGGCTGATTTTTCCGGCATTACCGATCAGATATCATTTGTATTAAATGATACTGTAAATGAAGCACATGATCGTTTTGCTCAAAAAAAAAGAGAGAAATGATTGTCGAAAACTTGGAGAAAGTTATGGAAAAAGAAGGAATACCGAGAAAAATGACAAGATTTATGGCGGATGCATTATCAGACAATGCCATGTCTGACAATTATTTTATGGATATTGCGAAATTATAATATCACTTATTTTCATGCGAACTGTATATGTTCAAATGTGATGTTAAAGTATGCATTGATGTTTTTCTAAGAAATAGGTTAATCAAGCATCACTTACTGGCGATCCCATCCATTTCATTGCATAATGAATTGTATGGAAAAGATCAAAGGTAATAATTTTATAAAGTTTCTTTCTGACTGTCATATGGATACAAGAAGACATGTAATAATGTTTACGTACCTTTCATTCGTTTGCAATAAATATGTTTTAATTTTGGCTTAATTTCTTGGTATTAAACAATTCAGTTTGGCGATTTCAGTTTAATAATCCAAAAAAAGTAAAAGTTATTCATAGTGAGCATTCGTGTGCAATGTCAGAAACGGATTTCAAGTTTTATTGTGGAAGGACGTTTCTTTCGATTTTTTTTGATGTATGAATTTGATGTATGATGATGATTTTTGATGTATGATGTATGAA